GGTGGTCCCCAAACGTGGTGGTGAGAACACCCGGTGGTGAGTTTTGGGCGATTTGGGTAATGGTTTTCGAGCGCTGGCTGGCCCAGGAAACGCAAAACCTCGTGGCGACCGCGTGTCCCCAAACCCGGTGGTGACCCAGAATTATTTTTTGGGGGGAATCGGGGTCACCACCGGGTGTCTCACCACCTGGTTTGGAGACCACCAAGTTTGCATGGACCCCCGTCTCCTGAGCCCCGAACCACCCCCTTCCGCGGGCCTCCGGCACCCGACGTTGTGGCAAGAGCCGCGCCGTCCCGACAGGCCACGACGCGAGGCCCCCGCCCCCCCTCCGCGCGGGCTCCATCCGGCCAGATCAGCCCCGTGGAGGTCCCGGGGCCCCAGGCCTGGCGAGAAATCCCGTCGTGTTTTCCGAGACGCCCAGATGCCCGAGGAGGAGGAGGAGGAGGGGAGGAGGAGGAGGAGATCGAGAAGAACGAGCTTGCGATTACATGCCGAGGCCCCTCACGAAGTAGCTCACGACATGCGAGACGTCTTCGAATAAGAGAGCTCCTGGGGCAACAACCCTTCCTCAACCTCCGCTTCCTCCTCCTCATCCGTTGATCCGTTGATGATCGCCCATGAATCAACCTGACGCGCCCTCCCTCAGGGACGTTTGCCTGGGGGCGGCGGTGATCAAGCTAGATGCTGTAGCAAAAAATGATAAGCGGACCGACAGACCCCCAGGGCGGGGCATTTCTGCCCCCCTCCTCCTCCTCCTCCTCCTCCTCCTCCTCCTCCTCCTCCTCCTCCTCTTCCTCCTGTCGAGCACGCGGGGCGTGGCACCCGCCCCGCAGCTGCGCGCTCGACCAGTGCCTTTGCGGACGACAGAACCGAACCTAGCCTCGACTCAATTGCCCCCTCCTCCCAGTCCTCCTCCTCGCTTGCTTTGACGTGGACGTGGAAATCTGGGCAGGGCTCATTTCGACTTCTCCGATCCGATTCGGTTCGATTTCGATGGCTTCCGATTCCGATTCGATTCGACTTGGGATTCCGATTTGGGTTCCCATTTCTTCTTGGTTGCATACCAGCCGGTCGATTTCCGTTCTCGACTTTTCCCCACGGCGGCCGCTGATCTCCGCCGATCCGACTCGTTTCGATCGCCGATCCCGACCTGTCGATTCGACGATCTGGGCTCTCCTGCGTGGACGTGGAGCTCTGGGGAGTGCAAGAGGGGTCATCGAGGACGCCGGCGGCGCATCACCGGCCGCTCCCTGGGAGTTTGTCGAAGTGGTGCGCAGCATCGAACGTCGTGACGCTCCAGGGGCCTCTTGGGGGCGTCCCAGGGGCTTCTTGGAGACCTCTTGGGGCCTTCTTGGGGCCTCTTGGGGCTCTCTTGGGGTTTGTTGGGGGACGTGGAACTCTGGGGAGTGCCAGAGGGGTCATCGCTGGGACCCGTCTCTCTCCGAGGTGGGCCCTCCGGCCCGCCCGGGCCGCAGGCGGGGAGGCGGGGCGCGCGCGCTCACCGGCCAGGGGTGCGGTGGCAGTGACCATCGGGATGCGCCGGCGGCGGGCTGCAGCAACCTCAGGCTTCAGGTCGGGCCTGTCCCCCCACGAGGGGGATTTTTGGGGAAAGGTCAAAAAGATAGTCAATAGATACCCCCCAAGTGTTCAAGAATGGTCCCCAAATCATCCCCAGCCTATTTTTTGACCATCTTTGCATTTTTCTCCTGTAGAGGGGCAGGCCCGACTCAACTCTGGCCCCGAGAGGCCCCCCGTCGTCACAGCACGGGGCCCTCTCCCAGGGGGCCCGCGCGCGCCCGCCCTCCCGCCGCGGGCTCCGCGAGGGCCCTCCTCCCCGCGCTGCGCCGCGCCCCTCGCCCACCCTTGTCAGGCATTCTGGGCGCCGTCCTCCGGGGTCCCCGGGCCCCCCGAGACGCCGACATGATGGCGCGGGTCGCGGGCGCCGTGCTCGCCGCCGGCTGCGCGGTGCACGCGCTGGGCAGCCGCCCGCCCGTGCCGCCCGCCGCCGCCGCCGGCGTCCCCTCCTCTCCGAGGGCCGAGGAGCTCGCGGGCGGAGAGCACGTCCATCTCCACGGCCTCGCGGGCGGGGCCTCCGGGCCGCGGCCCCGCGAACACGGGGCACCTCCTCGCGGAGGCTCGCGCGGATCGTACCGCCCTGCGGCCGCGCACCCGCGGGGTCGAGCCGCGGAGTCCGGACCGCGGGGGCGTGCGTGTGGACGTGCTCGGCGCTCGTGGAGCGGAGCGGTGCTCCCAGAGGTCTTCCGCCTTCCGCCTCCTGCCTGGGCCTCCGGAGGCCTCCGGAGGCCTCCGGGGGCCTCTTTGGGGACTTCGGAGGCCCCCAGGGCCTTCAGGAACCTCTGTTGACCTCTGGTCGTCGTCGTCGTCGTCGTCGTCGTCGTCGTCGTCGTCGTCGTCGTCGTGGTAGTGATGGTGGTGGCGGTCGTCGTCGTCGGCATTGCCTTTGTCGTTGTTGTCGCCGCCGTCGTGGCCTTTGCCCGCGTCGGCGTTGTTTTCGCCGCCGCCGTCGTCGCTGTGGTGGTGGTGGTGGTGGTGGTTATCGTCGGCTGCTCAGTTACTTGGCGCAGTATCGATGCTGACGCTCCCTCCCCTCCGACGCCCCAGTATTTTCGTGACGCAGGGCTTTCCACCCCGATTTGCTTCGGATTGTCCAAGGGCTCAGAAGCAGAGAGGGAGAATGACGGCAGACTGGCCGTCCCGATTTGAATCCGTGGCGCTGGGGCCTGAGGGCTCGTGCGGCGCGCGCGCTCGCCGCAGGCCGCGAGCTGTATGACGAGTGGTGGAGGATGAATTTTTGCATCAGCAGCCAGAGACCCCGAGATTGGAGGCAGCGAGAGGGTGAGGCCGACAAAGGAAGTCTAGGCCTGCCAGACGGGGTCGGAGTAGACGGGGTCAGAGGATCACACCGCATCGCTGATGTATCGCCGATGCGGTTCGACGTGGAGCCCGCTTTCCTCCACGCCGACGGCGCCGATGCATCGCCGACGTCGCGATGCGGCGCGGTCCTCCAACGCCATCTTCTCAGACCCCGTCTGGGAGGCCTCTGGACAACGACAGAGGAGAACGGGGCGGGGGGAGGCGGTAATTACCCCCGCTGGCACCTACGGCCCGTGGGGCCCACGTCGTCCAGCCTGGAGGGCCGTGCAGGTCACCCATCCCGGCTCCGGCGCGCCCGCTCACGCGCGCCCCAGCTCCAGCAGCTGCGCGCCGCTGCTCGTGCTCCGCGCACTCCGCGCAGCTCCGCGTCGCTGCTCGTCGGCGCAGGCGCCGTCGGCCGCGCCCGCCCCACGGCGGCCGCGCCACCCGCCGCCGCCGCCTCCCCGAAAAAACCTGCCTCTCAGGAGCTCCAGCTGCCGCGCGCCGCCGCCCAGCCACCGCCACCGCGGCCCGCGGGGGGAGGCCGTCGGCCCACTCGCCCCCCAGTGGACGCGCCGTCGCTCACCACATCCATGCCCAAGCCTCGGGCCGCGCCATCCGCGCAGCCGCCAGCCGCCGCCGCCCCCCTCGGGGCCCCGCCCCGCGGCGCAGGGGCCGCCGCGCCAGCGCCCAGCTGTTCCTTCTGCTCGTCCTGCTGCGCGGCGCCGCCGCCCGCGCGCGTGGGCCCCCGGGCTCACTCGGGAGCCGTTCGCACGGGCGCGAGAGCAAGAATGCTGGTTTATTCTTTGCGACTTGCCCCCACGGCTTCTGCAGTGTTTCGGCCACCTTCCTCTCCCACCCGGCCTCGCTGAGGCTGAAGGCGTCGGCGCTGCGCTGCCGCCCCTGCTCGCGAGGCGCCCTGTCTGCCAGATCGCCCCGCTGGTATGGGTTGCCCCGCCTTCGGCGGCCAGAAGATCCTCTTCTCCTGAGCGTGGTGCCGCGGCCGCCGCGCTCATTCGGAAGCCGTTCGCACGGGCGCGAGCGTGAGAATCATCATCATTTCCATTACCACCACCATCATCATCAACATCATCATCATCAGCATCAGCATCAGCATCAGCATCAGCATTAGCATCAGCATCAGCATCAGCATTAGTATTATCATTATGAGCATTAGCATTAGCATCATTATCATTATCATCATCATCACCATCACCATCACCATCACCATCACCATCACCATCATCATCATCATCATCATCATCATCATCATCATCATCATCATCATCATCATCATCATCATCATCATCATCATCATCATCATCATCATCATCATCATCATCATCATCATCATCATCATCATCATCATCATCATCATCATCATCATCATCATCATCATCATCATCATCATCATCATCATCATCATCATCATCATCATCATCATCATCATCATCATCATCATCATCATCATATCATCGCCGTCATCGCCGTCATCATTACCATCACCCGCCTCATCGTTTTTGTGTTCCGCTTTCTGGAGGGGGGCGAGGAGCGAGGCGAGAGGGATCCAGGAAGGGGCGGTGGCGGGTGGTGCGGCGGCCCTGGCTCGCAGGCACGGACCCTGCGTTCGTGGCCCCAGCGGCGCCCCGGGAGGCCCAGCGGCCGCGCGTGCCCTGGGAGGGCAAGACGAGGTGCTGCGGATGGCGTGAGGGTGGGCAGGGTCGGCCGGGACTGGGCAGCAGTGTGGGGAAGGGGGGCGAGGAGGACGAGAGGAGGCGGCGGCGGAGGAACGAGAGGGCGAGGAGGGGGGGGGTTGAAGTGGGGAGGGCGTGGGGGGGGGGGCGAGCAGATGGCGGGACTGAGGATCGAACGGCTTTCGGAGCTGTCCCTGTCTTCCCGGATGGTTTTTGGGCTCCCACCGTGCGGATTTCGACCATGCAGCAGTGGAGCTAAAACAAAGAAGTTCTACGCCCAAAACTTGCAGGCTGGAACTGGCGCAGGGAACTGGACCACCTACTCCGGATCTCATAACAATGGGGGGGGGGTCTGCTTTTTGGGGGGGGGTCTAACGGGCTTCGTCAAACACAATTGTGGGGGGTTCTCGATTTTGGATCCTTTGTTGCCTGACTGGGGGGGTCTACTTGGGGGGGTCCTAGACCGGCCGTCAAACACTTTTTTGACTCCCCCCCTGTATTATGAGATTTGGAGTACGCCTCGCAGCCTGTTGGCCCCCACGGAGGCCGGTGGGTTTCGGTTACTGTTGGCACTCGCGCTGTGCTTCTGCCTCGGCCCCCAGAGGGCCGTTTCGGGCTACGGGGTCCGTCAGATCATGGCTCGAGATGAAAAGCAGTCCGTGGGCAGGGGTTAAAACGACGCGAAGATCGGGACAACATCGGATCGGGATAACTCGAAATCTCTGAGAATCGGCGGGTTTGGAGGATGTATTGGGCGCCGCGGCCGCTCCAGAGCGTTCCGGAACGCTCTGAGAGCGCTCCGGAACGCTCTTGAGCGATTTATCCAGATCCTAGCCCTGTTTTATTTGGAGTTCCGCATCGGAAACAGTCACGACCCCGGAGGTCTGGGCAGGTGACGAGGGCGGGTCTGCCAGAGGTCTTCGGAGGCTTCTGGTGTCATCGGAGGTGCCCCCTCGCTCCCAGCTGTTGTTGGAACTGTTGGGGAGTCATCAGGGATGGGGAGGGGGCAGAGGACGGGGGGAGAGGACGAGAAGGCGGAGGAGCAGGGGTGCCCCGCCTCCTCCTCCTCTTGCTCCTCCTCCTCCTCCTCCTCCTCCGCTTCCTGCCCCTACCCCCGTTCCTCTTCCCCTCCCTCATGCATTCCTCCCTTCTCCACTGAACCTGTGCTGTCGTGGCCCTGCCTCCCTGTGTTTTGTTTTCCCGCAAAGGGTCCCAATCCATGCTTGCAGTTTTATTCTAACGCGTGCGCACGCATTCACACACATATATATATACATTCACACTTATCAACATACATGATGTTGACATGTCATAGCGTACCATATCATATGATACAATGCCATATTATATCATATCATGTCATACCGTATCATATACTATCATATAATATCAAACCATACCATACATACCATATCAAATCATATCATATCATGCCATATCATATCATATCATATCATATCGTATCTTTTCATATCACATCACATCACACCACATCTTATAATATCATATCATGCCATGTCATGCCATGTCATGCCATGCCATGCCATGTCATGCCATGCCATGCCAAGCCATGTCATGCCGTGTTATGTCGTGCAATGCCATGCCATGTCATGTCCTGTCATGCCATGCCATGCCATGCCATGTCATGTCATGCTTGCCATGTCATGCCATACCATACCATGCCATGCCATACCATACCATGCCATGCCATACCATAGCATACCATATCATATCATACCATATCATACCATCTCAAACAATATCGTATCATATCGTATCATGCATGTATGCATGTATGCATATATGCATGTATGCATATATGCATGTATGCATGTATGCATGTGTGCATGTATGCAGGTATGCAGGTATGCATGTATGCATGCATGCATGAGTGTATGTATGTATGTATGTATGCATGTATGTATGCATGTATGTATGCATGTATGTATGCATGCATGCATGCATGCATGCATGCATGCATGTATGTATGTATGTATGTATGTATGTATGTATGTATGTGTGTATGTATGTATGTATGTATGTGGGTATGTATGTATGTATGCATGCATGCATGCATGCATGCATGCATGCATGCATGCATGCATGTGTATGTGTGTAGGTGTGTAGGTGTGTATGTGTGTACGTGTGTATGTGTGTATAACTATATGTAGTTATACACAGTTATATAATATAAAAAATGCCGCCCCCCCAGACCCGGGTCCCACACCTCCCCGTGACATCTCGGGGACGCTCCCGGTACCGCTCCCCCGGCCTTTTCGGGGAGCCTCCACAGCGCCCCAGGAGGGCCCAAGACGTCTCTCAGAGCCCCCAGAATGCGAAAGGATGGTCCAAACGCTCCCAAGCAGCCCAAGTCAGCCTTCCGACGGCTCTCGAGGCTCCCAAGTGGCTTCCAAGAGACCCCAAGAGAGGTCCGAGAGGCGTCCCCAGACGGCCCGAGGAGGCCCAAGTCGTAGATTTTGAATTCTTTTCCATGTTTTCGAGCTTCCAAAGATCCAAGAGGGCCGAAGAGGCTCCCAAGACCGCCCCAAGACCACCCAAGAGACCCTCAGGACGGCTCCAAGACGGGCCAAGAAGGCTCCAAGACTGTCGAAGAGGCGCCCAGGACAGCCCCAGACCACCCCAGAACATGCCCAAGATGGGCCCACGAGCGGGAGCAGGAGGCTTCCAAAGAACTCCGAGAGGCCTCTGGGACCCCCAGAGGCCCCCAACACACCCCCGATCCCTGAGAGGCCCCAAAAAGACCTCGACGAGGCTCCAAGAACAGCCCAAGAGAGCTGCGAGAGCCGTCCCGAGAGAGCCCAAAGAGGGTAGAATCGTTGATTTCCAATGTTTTTTTTAAAAATGTTTTTCGCCTTCTCACGTTTTCCTTCTTCCATCTCTCTAAGATCGAGGATTTTGAAAAAAAAAAGGGAATTCCAAGAATTCAATTTTTTTTAAGTGGACTCCTAATCGGAGATCCCACACATCCCCTGACATCTGGCCGGTACCGCGCCTCCCGGCTTCCTGGGGGGCCCCCAAGAAGCCCAAGGACAGCCCAAGACGACCCCAAGGAGCCCCCAGAATGTAAAGAACGGCCCAACGCTCCCGCGCAGCCCGAGACATCCTTCCGACGGCTCCAGGCCTCCAGGAGGCCTCCAGAACCCCCAGGGGGTCCGGAAGATCCCACACCCCTGAGGGGCCCGGCTAACAAAACCCGCGAGGCACACAAAAAACAGCGCCGAACAGCGCCGAGGAATTGGAAAAACATGGAAATCCCACAATTCCTTCCTTTTCTCCAAGTTTGGCCCCCGGTCTACTCTTGCACAACAGACCACAATTCAGACTCACCTCCCAAAAAAGAACCCAGGAAGCTTTCGAGGGCCCCAGATCGTTGAACACCTAAAGGAAATTAATGATTTCTGCGTTTCCGCACTTCTCTTCTATACGATTCCGAGGCTTGCGCAGGGCCTCCAAGGGAGTCCCCGGACTCGAGAAGCGAGCAACGTGAGATTACATGAGTTAGCCTATCAAACCTATTTATGACTTGAGCGCGCGCGAAGCGCGCGATGGTTCTAGCATATATATATATATATGTATGTTGGCCAGAACGGACTCCAAACAGTATGTGATTTAGCAATATTGGTTGTACAATCTATGTGGAGCAATCAAATATGGTGCAAGCTATGTGGTGCAATCTATGTGATGCAATTGATTTTTACCCATGATTTGACACATCCCATGCTCTTGCAAACATCCCACCCACCCACCCGCAACTTGGTTTGCAAAACCTCTTAAGACCGACTACGACGACACCGACGACGTCTCCGACGACTTCGGCGACGACGACAACGACGACGACGACGAGAACGACGACGACACCGACGACGACGCCGACGCCGACGACGACAACGACGACGCCAACGACGACGTCGACGACGTCCACGACGCTGACGACGACGGCGGCGGCGACGACGACGACGCCGACGTCGACGACGACGAAGACGACGACGACGCCGACGCCGACGACGACGACGCCGTCGCCAACGAAGATGACGACGACGACGAGGGAGGAGGGAGGACAACGACGCCGACAACGACGACAATGACGAGGGAGGAGGGAAGACGGCGACGACGCGAACGACGAAGAAGGAGGAAGGACGGTGACGCCGACGATGACAACGACGAGGGAGGAGGGAAGACGACGACGACAACGACGACGACGACGACGGCGACGAAATAGGAGGGACGACGACGAGACGCCGACGACGGACGACGACGACGAGGGAGGAGAAGGGAAGACGACCACGGCGTCAACGACGATGGAAACCACCAGGACGCCAAAGAGGACGACCACGACGAACACGAGGAAAAACAGAGGACGACGTAGACGACGACGACGACGCGGGAGGAGGGAGGACGGCGACGACGACGACGACGACGCAAGAGCGCGCGCGCACGCTTTTGTTAAAAATCCGTGTTGCGAAACCTTTTGTTTTTGCAGGTTTTTTGGACACAAGATGTTGAAATCCTTCCGAAACCGATGGGTTTTGAAGGATTTCGGCATACGCGCGCGACGACTCGCGCGTCTGCACTTCGTCCCATTTTTTGCAGAGGATTCTCGCGACGGCACACGCGCAAGGGCGTTCGACAGATTTCGACATGCGCGCGCGCGACGCCCGTTTGGTAGCATGTTGTGAAAATCTTGAACAAACCAATGGATTTCTTAAGATTTCGCAAGAGCTCGCGCGTAAGTTTTTTTAGCAATTCAGTGCTGCGAAACCATGTGTTTTTGTATGTTTTTTTGGAAACTCGATTGCGAAATCCTTCCGGCACCGAAGGTTTTTGAAGGATTTCGGCATGCGCGCGCGACGACGCGCGCATGTGCATTTCGTCCTGTTTTTTTGCGAGGGATTCGTGAATAAGTGTTATGTTAGAACAAAAGATGTCCCCGGGGATAGT